CTGTGCGCATAGCCCGCATAGCGGAACACCGCAGGATATACGCCAGCAATGGTGGAACAGTTTGCAGCAAATTTGTGTGCGTTTCAGCAGTAAGCTAGATCATATTCTGCTTATTGATGCCAATGCTAGAGTGCATACGTCCATCGATGGAATCATAGGTGAACTGACTGAATGCTTCCCGACTCCTAATGAGGAGCGTTTCATCGACCTGATTACGGCCAGTGGCCTGTTCCTGCCTTGTACTTTCGCTGAATTCCAGTGGGGTGATATTGCAACCTGGATACACCCTGGCGGAGGAACTGCAAGCCGTCTCGATTATATCGCAATCCCTGTACACTGGAGGAGGTCAGTCGTCTCTACGTGGGTGGACTGGGATATTACTTCAGGTGTAGCTGCAATCGATCACGCCTGCTCTTCAGCATTTCTTCGATGGACGCAGATTATCACGAGCCGTCGCAGGCAGACAAGACTTTGATAAAGATGCTATCACTCGCCCTGAGGCTAAAGCTACATTGCGCCAGATCATCGATGGCATACCAGAGGTCCCTTGGGAAGTGAACGCATCAACACATGCGGCTAAGGTCAGCAAATACCTGCGAAATGCACTTTGCCAGGCATTTCCGAGGCAACGCAAGGTCAGGCAACATGAGATAGCCAGTACTGCTGCACGGGACCTCTGCGCTCTCACGACCAGCCTCAAAAGACAGCTTAAGCCGTACAAGATCATGACACGGCTTGCCAGATTACATGATTGCTTCCATGCATGGAGGAACAAGCAGACATCCACCAAAATGTCGAGAGAGTGGACCCGGCAATTTTTTGCCAAACAGGCTCTGATTAGGCACAACCTCAACCAGGCTGCTTGGCAGCTTCGCAAGCAACTCCGAGCTGACCGGAAAAGCTATTTGGAGCGCATATGTAGCCAGGTGTGCGAGGCTAAGCCTGGAGAGGTTTTCCGTTTGCTGAGGCCATTGATAGGAACAAGCCGCAGACATGGAATTGGCAATCCTTTGCCACAAATCAATCGTGCGGACGGAGCTGTCTCAGCCAGCTTTGAGGAGTATCAACAGAGATGGACCGAACACTTTGCTCAACTTGAAGGAGGACATATCACCGACCCTAGCTTCTTCGTCCGAAAGGAGCTCGACAGACAAAGAGACCAGCCGGTCGTGCAGTGGGAAACGATGGCCGACATACCGTCACTGTCGAACCTGGAAGCTGCTCTACGCAAGGTTAACTTGCATAAGGCAGTAGGACCAGATCAGGTGCCAGGCGACTTGTTGCACATGTTTCCAAGAGAGTTCGCTCGAATCCTCTTTCCACTGATGGCCAAATTTGCATTTCGACTGCACGAGCCAATCCAATGGAAAGGGGGTCAGCTGATCAAGTTATATAAGGGCAAGGGTCCAATCCGAGAATGCTCCAGTTTTCGGGGAATTCTGTTGATGAGCACCATTGGCAAAGCGATCAGAGCAGGCATGAGGCATAAAGTCAACCGAGCTTTTGTAGCAAATAGCACAGATACACACTTTGGAGGCAAGCCTGCGCAAAGTGTAATTTTTGGGGCGCAGATGGTACGCCACTTTATTTCCATGCGCAAAACTGCAGGCACCTGCTGCGTCATTTTGTTTTGTGACATTGCCTCTGCCTTCTACCGAGTGCTTCGCCAACTTGCTACCGGCGCAACTGTGAGTGATGAAGAAATTGCCACAATAGTTGCACGTCTTGGCCTGGCGCCAGAAGTCATGCACAAGCTGCATCAGGCCTTGAACGGCCAATCTGCACATGAGCTGCTTTTAGGCACTCAGCCGGAGCGGAGGCTCCTGCAAGAAAGTCTGAATGGAACCTGGTTTTGGACAGAAAAAGGGCCACTGGTCCATACTCTTGTCGGAACAAGGCCAGGTGACTCGTGGGCAGATATAACCTTCAACATTCTCTTTGCTGAGGTCATTGGAGAGGTTCAGAAAGAACTCCTCCACATGGGGCTGGCGCTTACTTTGCCGGCTAATGCTACGAGGTGTTTTGAGGCACTGGACCCCAATATCCATGACACATCAGACGTTGCTTGTCATGCCACTTGGGCTGATGACTTAGCTTTGCTTTTGCCTCTTAGTTCGCCGGAACAAGCCGCTGGTCAGACAGGGAGGGCCGCGCAGGCCTTACTTTTGCAGCTTGCTAGGGTGGGGTTGAAGGCCTCCTTTGGCACCGCTAAAACAGCTGTTCTGCTCTTCATACGAGGAAAAGATGCTGTTTCGATTAGGAGGAAAGTATTTTCGACCAAGAACCCTCAAATTCCAGTGATCTTAGAGGAGGAGACTGTGATGATACCAATTGTCACACAATACAAACATCTTGGCGGAATAGTAGCGGCCAAAGCCAATATGAGGCTTGAGATATCAGCCAGAATTGGTAAAGCCATGGCTGCCTTTGTCCGAATTTCTAGAAAGGTACTCCGAGCCAGGCAATATCCTTTGAATCTCAGACTGCAGGTGTTCGAGGCTACTGTAATGTCCATCTTCCAATGGGGCTGTGGGGCTTGGCCCACTCGGCCCACTCTTCAGGAAAGGGAATGGAAAACGTGGCAGACAGCCTGTTTCAAGATGTTTCGTAAGCTCAGTCCGCTCTCGAGTGAGATGCAAGTGAGACATGTTTCCAATGATGAGATACTTATTTCCCTTGCCGTGTCAACTCCACTGGACCGATTACAGGTGGCCCGTGTACGCCACATTGGGTCGATGTTAGTCAATGCACCCAATGCTGTGTGGGCCTTACTGCGACAAGATGTACAGGCAAGACAGGCATATGAGCAAGCTCTAGTTTGGCTCTGGCGCGGAACTGGTCGTGACAGAGAGGCCCCTCCGCCGCACGCATGGGAGGCATGGGAGAAACTTGCTGTGGAACAACCTCTCACATGGAAGCGACTGACAAGAAAGGTTTCAGGCCGATATAAGACCTACCGTGTCATTCAGGCCCGTGTCCGCCAAGCCTATGCGGACATACTTAAAAGCATTGTTCAGGCAGGAGCCGCACTTGGAGGCAGAAGTATGCAGACACAGCATTACTGTTTGATTTGCAGCCAACCATTCTGCAATAAACGAGCATGGTTTCTCCATGCCTACTACAAGCATTCGTATATATCCATGGCTGGACAGGCGGCCGTTGGAACAAGCTGTCCTGTTTGTGCGAAGGAGTATTTTTCGAAAGAGAAACTGAAACATCACCTCCAGTATAGTGCAGTTTGTCGGCACTATGCTTGGAGTGCGGCTGAGAGCACTCCATCGCAGGAAAGGGTGCACGACCAAATGCCATGGATCTATACTGATGTGCCGGTCGTATACCATGAGGACCAAGAACATCGGGACGACCTGCAGCTATGGGAGAACCTACAGGAGGCGGCTCGTTGTTTTGTCCTGTCTGTTGAGGATGAAGGTTTTGCTGAAGACGTCTATCGCAGAGTCAGAGAGGCTTGCAATCTGCCGATGCCCTTTCCTAGTGTTGTCACGGTGCTGGAGCGATGGCTAGCCTTTTTGGGCCCTAACGCAGATCCTCTTCTTCTTAAAGCAGGCCACCGGATTCGACAGGAATTTTCCGATATCTGTCTGCAGAATGTCGCCTTCGATGATTGGAATCTCGATGATGAGAATGAGCGAAAAGCAATCCAATTCGGCGCACTTCGACCTGGTAGACCCGCCAGATCTTTCTGTGAAAAGTACTTTTTGCACCTATACAGTGGCCGCCGACGCCAGGGCGACCTACAGGATGCACTGGAAGCACTTGAACCAGAAGGAGGCGTGACACTATGGGTTTTGTCCATTGACGTCATGGTATCCGGCGAATACTGTGATTTGCTGCAAAAGGACACCCAGATGTTGTGGCTGAAAATTGCAAGGGAGGGCCTAGTAGAGGGGCTCCTCGCTGGGCCTCCATGTGAGACCTGGTCGGTCGCAAGGGAAGCAGACGGAATGGCTCCGGAAACTGGTCCTAGGCCACTTCGGACCGCGGCTGAGCCTTGGGGCCTGGTTGACCTGTCGCAGAAAGAGTCTTCCCAGATTGACGTTGGCAATCAGCTCATGATTTTTGCCATCAAGATCAGTTTGGTCCAAGCACTCTATGGGAAATTCTCTCTGTTAGAACATCCTGACGACCCCGAGCTTCATGACAGCTCCAAAGCGGCCTCGCCGACAATATGGAGAACAGCACTCCTGACGTGGCTACGGCAGCTCGACTTGTTCATAGAACTGCGACTGGAACAGGGATACTACTACAATCAAGTGAGCCGGAAGCCGACTCGATTTTTGATCAGCGGAGTTGTACAGAGCAAGGCTCAAGAAATTGAGCGGCACTGCAGGACTTCAAAGAAGCCCGACGCATCTACGATAGGGAAGTCCTCTGGAGGCTCCTTCAGGACTGCCAAGTTGAAGGAGTACACTCCAGAGTTATGCGCGATGATTGCTCAACTCTATGCTCACCGGTCGAGACCCCAATGCGAAGCATTGGATGTGGCTCCCGGTGAGTATAGCTGGATGCAGTCCCTCTCAGTCAGTGAGTATGTGCACGAGACACATGGCCCTGACTATGCACGCGCTGTACAGACATGAATTCAAATTGCGAGGCGGCGCGCTTCAATGCACTAGCTGCGCATGGAAATGGAAATGGAAATGGGTTTGTAGTATCCATGTCAGTGCAATTCCTGGACATTTCGGATTCATTGGACGTAGCTTGTCTATCAACTCTCAGGGTCGGAAGTCCGAAACCAACAGATTGAAGGGAGATCATTTCCAACCAGCCCCAAAGCTGCTTTTCTTTGGTACAACCGCACATATAGTACATAGCTTTCAAAGTCCAAATCTATCTCGATGGTTTATCATCCACCGCATTAACAGCTATCCCAAAACCGATGCTTCCACTAGAGGGTGTGTGTACGTGTGTCGAATCGCCTCTGCCAAACCCAGCACGAAAGACACGCGTTCCCCCGCGCAGATCGAGCGCTTCGCGCGCTCCTGGAGGAGGGCTCCCTCATTGGATTGGCCCTGGAGAGCAGATCTCCAGATCGGACGATTTTTTGGGGCGAAGGAGATATGGGATGATTTGGTACTGCAGGAGACCATGATTCATGGTCACCATGATTGACCTACTTCCTTCCAGGTCAAGATATATGACAGGTCACCATGATATCCATGCCCATTTGGGACTTGGTCCAGTGAATAAACAAAAACATGGCTGGCGGAGAAGAATCGAGTGCTTGACCTACTGAAGACCAACCGTTCCTTGCAATCATACTACCTGTAAGTAAGACAACAAGAGCCTCCACCCTGCCCGGGCATTCGGGCGCATTTGGCAGCGGATTCCATGTGTTGGATGGGTCTGACGGACCTCGGACTGGGGTGCGTCAGTCTTCATAGGGTAGGGAAATGACCTGACATGATCCATTCTTCACAGGTCGTATGGACCTGTACATGTTAAAAGTGTGTTTGTTGGGTGGAGTACTGCCAAGATCTGCCAAGATGCCAGCTCCGGACCTCTCAACTCTTCTGTTTTCAGGCTCCGCGCCCGCCCCGGCCACCACGCCCCGAGCGGTCTCCGCGGTGACCAGGACCGGGGGCCCGGGCCACCACTGCAGGGTGCCGGGAGGCATGTCGCGACTTTGGATCAGCACCTCGGCATCGCACCAAGACGATCGGCCACGGCTCGCATCGAGCATCGCATCGCATGTCGTGAGGTACAGGTATCGCGGTGAGGTAGAAGATGAGGTACCCAGGTGGGTAAGCAGTTGGCCATAGGTCAAAAGCAAAAGTATTCTTCGCTGCGTTTTAAGAGGGAATTGTTCTAGCTTTGGTTTAAAGAAAGTTGCAACCGGTTGACTTGCCTAGATGATGAGGGGCATATGGCCAGGGGGTGCCACCCATGTCCGGCACTCTACAGGTTCAGGAATATCTATGTTCAGGCGCTAATCATGTACTCATTGCAATCCTACTACTAACTATCCATTACATTCTGTTACTGCTTTCATCGGCATCTGATGCTTGTCTACATCACCCATGTCACATGTGGATTCCGGTCGTTTTGGTCACCGTCCGCCTTAGAGCCCGGGCCCATTGCATCACAGACCTCGAGAGGTCGTGGATGGCGCCGGCTTGGCCCGGACCAAGAGCCTGAACACAGCCATACTACTTCTGGGATAGACTCCCATTCCCAAGGGCCCAGTGGATGATGGGGCCTGGTTCCAGGCCCTTCCATCTCTAAAAGTAGTGATTTGCTTGTGAAACCTGATTGTTACAGGTAAGTCCGGACAAGCCCAAGCCATAAGTACATCTATAATTATCTATACTTGGAGTCAAATTGGAAATGGTAGATGGCTGTTTTTGCCCGTGCTTCCGACCAATTCTCCAAGCGCCACTGAGAACTGCCTTGACCATTCACATGATGAACCTAGCTACCTATATAAATCCTTGCATGGCTCTTCCAGGTACCGATCTTGTCCGGATCCGTCGTGAGTTGCAGGTCGGATATACTTGAGTTGGGCCCCTTAGAGCAGGGGTTGGAATGGGTTCTACCATTCATGACCTACAGCATTGAATGACATCCATACAATGAGGTTGCTGGTCCGCCTTTGATCCAGTACCCATGCAGTGTATCGCTGTGTATCGCAAGTAGGATCTGCCCGCTTAGACCTACCCAGCATGAAGGTCAGGCGTAAGGGATATCCCACAGCAATTCCCCAGGGATCTGAGTGGATACCTTCTCAGAAGGTGGTTGGAGACTATTTATGTAAGGCTTGGAGCGCCCAAGTACCTTCTGAGAAGGTATGTAGATCCCCAGGGATTAAAACCACCACATGGAACAATCCTTTCAGGTCTCTCCCCACCGACTCTGGAATCGCCGGAATCGCTCATCAAGTGAGACTAATCAAAGGAAGAACCCTGAATCATCAGCATCAGGTAGCCTATATGTATCAATCTCTGTCGCAGAGTTCTTGGATGGAGAAACATGGCAACATCATGCAACATCTGGACAACCGTCAGTCTCTGTTCTTTTTGTTCCACGCAGTGGATTCCTCCCCCTTCATCCCATGTCCCCTTGGCCGCCATGACATCAGCTCCTTTGGCGGGATCACTGGCCCAACCTCGGCCACCCCAGGGTAGTCAGGGTAGTCTTAGACTAAGTGATTTCCATGAAGAGTATGGAAATAAACCTCAAACATCCCAAACTGTTCTTTGGGGAACCCAGCTAACAGAAGAACCGCATCGATTTGTCCTACATGTTTCTACAGCATATACCACCCTTTTTGGTGGCTTATGTTGTTGTTTCATCTTGTTTTTCGGGGGAGTCCAGTTTGTTGCATGGCGATCATGCAATTTGGATGGGGAAGCATATCCTCGGATTTGATGATCTTGACAATTTGTCAGTCAAAATCTCAATTGAGGCGTTTTCAATGACATAACCAGCAGCTATGATTGACTTGGGGAGTGACTGAACGCACTTCATGCCCTTTTCCTTCTAACTCAAGCATATAAGCAGAATTGGTCAAAGTATGTTTCCCTACAGTAAGTCTGATAGAACGCCTGTCCGCCTGTCTGATAGAAGGCACCAACTGTGTAAATGATTGTAAATGGACATGTCAATGGCACCTCAAGTGCTCCAGCCCTTGAAAAACGGCACCAGGTCTCCAGTGAACCTTTGTGTGTTGAACAAAAACATATATTTAGCCGACACATTGAGAAAAACGGTTTGCAAGCATTTGAAGACTAAAAGAAGACAACAGGAATGCACAATAAATGTGTGATAGTCTTTAAACAAATCACTGGAACAAAGAAGGAAACGGTTGTTTGAGGAATCAATGGATTGACTTTAATCCACATCGAAACCAACTCGGCTTGGCTCGCAACCCGTGGTGAAGAGCTGGTCCCCTGGCTCTGCCGTGGCTCTGCACTTCAGTTTTAGACTTAAAACTCGATGGATCTCAAGGGTTTGAATGATGTTGAGCGGTCATCTTTTCTCAGCAAAGCCTTTTCCCGGCTCGTGTCTTTTCTCCCCTGAAAACCAAACAAACACTCTATGTAGACCAAAGGTGAGTCTTCCATGACCGAAGCCCCAGAAAACATCTACGCGTCTACGCGCCGCCCCGTGTGTCAACGCTGGCGACAGACTGACCTCTGCGAGCGCTAGCGAGATGTCAGACAGCAATCGATTGGGTATACGGTATATCGCTATACCGTATACCCAGTGATCGTTAGTAAAGGCCTTTCTCTAGAAAAGTGAAAGGAGTGTTTACCAACTGTTACAGGTATAGGGTCAAATCCAAGCAATAGTCAAGAAATCAAAGCAGCATAGCTTGAATCTGAAGACTCCCTGCAAGGAGCCATCAACTGCAAGGAGCATCACCTGCTGGCGATGCATCCAATCCAAACAACCTATTGCCCCTGATGAATCCTGATGATAATATTGCATATCATTTCCTGACTCATTATAATTATAGGGAATGGTTTTCCAAGTGATGCCTGGCAACCACCAACTTCCAGGTGAAACACTTCAGGTCCATCTGTTCAAAGAAGGCCCTGTCTTCCTGTGACCGAGCGATCAAGTGTTGATTTGATGTCGAAGGGGAGTCTCTTGAAGGAAAAATTACCAACATGACCCTACCCTAAGCACCTCTCTCATCCCTCCGTGCTGCGCCATGCGCCTCCCCACCCAAGAGCGGCTTCTTGCCCAGTTCCAGAAGCTTCTCCAAGGGCGCCTCAGCCCGCTTTCCAAGGTCGAAATTCGAAACAGTTCCCATCCCTCCGTCCTCCCCAGAAAGAGCCGGTGGACATCGATGGGGACATTCCACTGCACCTCCCGCAGCGATCGTCGCCGTCAGCCGCTGCACCCGAGCCCCGCGGACCCCTTTTTGTGCGCTCCGTCGCCGGTGCTTCACCGTCCCAGGGCACAAAAGCCGTCATGTCTTCAAAGCGGCAAAGCTCTGCCTGGCGAACGGAAGCGCTTTCGTTTTTTGTGTTTGGAGCGTGGGACCGGGCATACTGAAGATTGGATGAAACTGGAAACCCACACACGCCTTGAAGTGTCTTCAGAGTCAGAGTTGTTTTTCTTTTTTAACGGCAATAAACATGAAACATGTTTGGAACAACAAGAAGAGACATTTAAATTCATAACACATTTGGACACCCTACCCGATCCTACCCTGTAGGATTCTCCACTGGATTCCAAGGTGGTACCCAGCCCTACGTATATTGCAGCACCTGCAGGCAACCCCAAGAACTCATTTTGCTGTTAATCAGCAAGGCTTGAGGCAATGGACCCTGATCCAGTAAAGTGGTCGTGATACTAAGACAGTTTGTGGTTCACAAACCATCAAAAAAATCAAACATCACACAATCACCTTTTTTTGCCTACCTCCATATTGAAGCACCACATACCTCCCCTTGATCTCGTTTCTCCACACACCAAACATCAAAAATTTGGATCCCTGCACTCTCCACCCATTGATCCCCTCCAAACGCCTGCCCTGCACGCGCGAGCCAAAAGCGCCTGGGCGAAGCGGAGCTCGTCGGGCAGCGCCCGCCGGATCTGCTCCTCCAAGGCGTGCCGTTCTGCCTCCACCGCCGTGGGCTCTGACTCTGCTGTCCGGCGGAGGCCGTTGAGGCCGTAGGCCAGGGTGAGGTGCCACGGCCACCTGGAACGCCGGCGCTTGCAACACATGCCGTGGACGAAGATGGCACGTTTAAAATACTCAGAAGGTGGGCACGAAGGGATAGGATGTAAAATGATGAAGAATATAACATGTTGGGATTGTTGGGACAGCGTGCTTGCTAATCCAAAAAATATTGGCTATAGACTGGGGCGCACTTAAAGATGTCAAAATTTCATTCCTGCACTTAAACATAATTGCTGCTGGGACCGCAGCTCGGAAGTACTCAATGATGAATCCAATAAAATCAATAAATAACATAAAAACCCGAATAGAAAAGGTGGGTTAACCTGCCCATGGGACAAGGGTAAAGCAAAGGAGACCCTCATGCAACCAAACCGGAGATCTGTCATGCAGCCAAACGGTCCTGTAGCCGTAAAGTTCACTTCTGGTTGTTAAATGAACAATCGGTCAGGCAGCCAGGCTTGACGCCCCTCTCTCTCCTACTCTCTCCTTTGATAGTGGACCATCTCCCCCAATTCGAACTTAGAATTGAAAATAATTCACCTTTTCAAAAAGTTGCATACCTGCACTTAAGGAAATCACCTCAGTAGTGACATGGCTTGGTATGCCCTCTCCTTAGTGCAGTCGGTAGCGCTACCGACTGCAGAAAGCCTCCATGTGATTTCCTTAAGTGCAGGTGAAACATTATTCAGGGATGCTTAAATCAATGCAAAACCATGCCCCATTGATTGAGAGCCATGGGCTTACTGAGGTCGGTAGCGCTACCACCCTCCCTAAGGTGGGGGTATGGCATGCCCTCCCCTTACTGCACTGATTTTGAAAATAAATAGTTTCAATCAGGGTGACCAGCAAGAAAAAACCATGTCATCCGCCGAAAGTCCAAACAGGGGTCAGAGACTTGATTTTCCACATGTTCTAGAGAATCATATCCTTGCTTGAATGTGTAGACAAAGATTCAATGGCAGCACTGCTGCTGTAATTTTGTACGGATGGTACTAAAGAGCACATGCTTGTTCCATGCCCTACCGAATCACAACGGGTCCTAAAGACAGAAAGCTGTGACTTCACGGGGTGCCGTATGTTTGGGGTGTTCAAGCCAGATCCCAGCCTTCTCCCCAACTCATAGGGAGATTTAAACATTTCAAAAATAAGGGAAGTGATTTTTTTGACTTTGTTAAGTGCAGGGCAGTAGAGTGCTATGGACTATACTGACTAATACAAAAATTCGGTTCAGTCGATCTGAACTCCTACATAACGCAACAATTCACCTACATCAAAAAATTCAAAAGCCTTTCATGGACTCATCGATCAGGGGATTTGGACCCCCCAAGTTTGCGGGCGGCGGGGCTTCAGATTTTTGAAGGACCGCATCGTGCATCATCGGAAAACAGCACCTGCAAAAGCCAGCACCAGCACCAGCACGGTAACAGCACCTGCAAAACGAAAGCCCCGGCACCAGCACCTGCACCAGCACGGCAGCAGCACCTGCAAAACGAAAACGCCGATCCAGAGCCAGCACCTGCACCAGCACGGTAGCAGCACCTGCGAAACCTGATCCGAAGCACGCACCTGCACCTGCACCAGCATCAGCACGGCAGCAGCACCCGGAAAACCAAAATGCCGATCCAAAGCCACACCATTGAGAAGTTAGAACCCCTATGGCCTGCAGCTATCTTGGGAAACATCGAAAACAAAAGACACGTTCAAACAGACTCCTGGCAGAGTTCACTCATCACAAAATGCATCAAAATGATACTCAAACACACACACACATTATCAAACAGTATACAAAGACATCGGGATCATTCTAGAGCATTCAAGATGATTCTGATCTCAAACACACAAAAGTCTCTCAATCTCATCTGCAAAAGCATTTCTTGTTTTTGTTTGGTGGATTTGCTTCCAGTTTCATCTGGTTTTGCGTGTGCTTCCCCGTCCTAAATTCCGACCCCGGTGCACTGATCCAAGTGGCTTCTGAGGCTGAGCCTCCAACAAACCTTCCAATCTACGCCCCACAGCCACAGCACTGGGATGCTCGGGCGTCTCGCCACAAGCACGCAAGACCAAACCTGTGCGGTTTGTCATGTTTCGATTTAGGAGCCTCCAAATGCGAGCATGAGATCAGTGCTGAAAAAAAACGATCTACAAGTTGGCTTAGACTTCCTAAAGGGTGAAGTTGGATACATCGTCGAATCTTCCACCTCGGGATGTAGTGAGGTAGTGGTGGACATGAAAGGTTCTAAGTTCTCCACATGTCTCCACCGCATCGATGCGAAAGCTTTCATGTCGGGCTTGGGGACTTGATGGTTCTGCAATTTCATGTCAAAGCCTACCCCAAATTGTACCATGTGGATTCTGGACATTTCACCACGGCCACCAAATCATAAGCCGTTGTGGAAACCTTGCATCTGCGACCCTTCCATATAGAAGTGGTTTTGGAAGATGGGACTCGGTCTGGCCAGACTTCAGGACGAACAGCAGCCGGCCGCAATGCAAGAAAGACCTGTGGATTAGGCCAACATGCATGTGTCTATCCAAGGCCCTATAAGTTAGATCCTCATCAAGCGCCTCCCTTGAGTCAAACCTCCGCAGCTCATGTCGTCTCCGCACCGACCATGGACAGTTCCCGCCTACGCAGCCATGGGAGATCTCGAGCCGTTCCACCGCCAGCCGCAGCACGAAGGGCGCCTCGGGGGACTCCTCGCCGCGCTCCCCGGAGATGCCGCGCAGAAGCTTCGCGGCCGCCGCCCAGCGGGGGTGGGCGCAAAAGGAGCACCAGGCCTGGTACTGAGCAGGTTTCATAGGCGGAATGTCCAACATGTCTGTCTCGGCAAGTGGTTTCTATGAATCCAGGTGGGGTCTTGGCGCCGGCAAAGCATTGAACTAGCAATCCGTGCGATTCCACAGATGATGACAGTCGAATACCACCAATGACATCCCTGTAGTATGACCAATATAGTTCAATACGGATTTGTACTGAGTCCAGTACTGACAGTACGGATAGACAGGGCACTGGAAGATGCTGAATCCTTGCCAACACCTTCCTTCAGTTGGACTAGCTTACAATCCAAATTTGACCTTGAAAGGCGGATAAAGAAGAACAGTAGACTAGACTAGAAACATCGGCTTTTCAAAAGTGCTATGCGCAGTGCTGCTAGCCAATGAACCATCGATCCAAAATGATTGTTCATTCCCAAAAACCCTTCTATGCATTGTATGGACGGCCTTGTTGATTCATCACATTTCTGGTGGTCTTTGCTGTGCGACCCCTTGAGCTTGCAGTGGGTACACTTTCAGCAGCTTGGGCCCATGCTTGGTCTGACTTCCGAGCCATGTTTTGGGCCACTTCTGTCCCAGACTTGGAAGTGCATGTGAAACATATCATGAGCGATCACTTCTGGCTCTACATCCGAGTCAATGCCATCAAACTATACTCTCACTCCCTCAGTTTTCCTGGAAAATACACTTTAACCTAACTTTCCACCTGTCTTTTTGAAGGGGAAAACCAATTCCCAAAACATGCTTTGTAACTTAATCCACAATTCTGGGTAGCTGGTGATTGACCAGCAGCCCCTTTTCACTCTTACACAGATCTCGCGATCTCGCCCTGCCTCATCGTCCAAACCCAACTTGTACTGGCAACAAATGTCCAGCAGCGTCACATGATAGCCTCAAAACGTGCAAACAATGGCGTACCAGGAAGGCGGGTCTGATCCAAATTTCATTTGGACCCCCCCCTTGGAGTTGGGTGGGCCAGGAAGTCTTGCCAGATTGATCATGAGTGAAACCTGTTGGCAAAGATATCCAAAAGTGATTGAAGATATCCACATCCCTCAATGGAATGTCTCTCCTTTGGACCACTTTGGATCCCAACAAAAATATTGAACTCCTGTCCAGGAAACCAGAAAAGCATAAACCCACTTCCATCACCTTCTGCATGCCAGGGGATTTACCCCTACAATGGAAAAGCAACAACACATCAAAGAAAACTCATGAACAAAGCAACGACGGATCCCAAACACCTCTGAATGTCGCTCGTGCTGCTGGTCACGGGCAGCGGCGCCAAATAAGGCCCCAGGAGTGGCGAGGCCTTCAGCAAGTCAGGCAGATGCGACAAGGAGGCACGGGACCTGCAGAGCGGAGGCTTCAGCGACACATCGACGGGAGCTCGCGAAGGTTCCGTGGCTAAGAGAGCCAAGGAGTTTAGTGGAGATTGGCCAGATGGGAGGCCCTTAGGATGTGGATGTATGTCATATATATATATATTAACATGTTGATTAGTATTAGTATCAGGTGGCATCAAGACGTGGTTAAAGAACAGGACCGTTTCTAACATGGTGGAAATCCACACGTCAAAAGAGTTTGGTCGGCGACACATCTCTAAAGTGGTGGGGCAGTGAGGATGCACCAAAGTGGCAAAACCACCAGTTCGGCTCCCAAAATGGGTCATCTGCAAAGAAAAGCGTACCCAAAAGCCAGGCTAGAAAGCAAACAACAAGGAGAAGGACAAACACATGGTCCTAGGACTTCATCATCACCTCAGCCCAGATCTTTCCAGCCACAGAACTGAACAGATTCGGAAGGAGATCACCCCAAAGACCGGCACGGTGCCAGGCAAGATAGAATCAGAAACGCGGTGAACCCTGACCCGTCGGGGCGCGGTGAACCGCGGTTCCGCGGTTCGGGGAATGCATTCAATGCATAGTAGAAAGTGGCCAACGAACACACAATATAGTATAACATAGTATATAATAGTAATTGTAATTATAGTATAATATATGATACAGTGATTTCAGAGTAGATGGCACAAACCCCTACATGTTTTTAAGGTGGGGTTCCATATAAACCACCTTTTGGGGATTGTGCCATCTACTCTGAACCCACTGTATAGCAATCTATCTAGTTTTGGCTTGTTGCTGCAAATAAGACAGTGAAGCATCAATTATTCTATGTCTGGACCAAGTCAACATGTGCTTTCCACTGGGTCACACGTGCATGGAGCACGACCGTGACGAGATGCACCGCTATGAAGAGATGAGCCGGCAAA